CAGAGCAGGCGCCTGCATGCTGCCTGCACGAGCTGAAGGGTGCTGCCAGGACTATCTCACCAAAAGCACTTCCCACGGTCTGTGGTGGCAACTAAAATTCTATCATTTTTAGATATTTTTTGTCCTTGTACATAGAGAGATACCTAAATAAAATAGGTAATATATACACAATGCAAAGAATTATTAAACAAACAAAAGTAACCATCATCCAGGTCGGAACTAGAATACTGCCACCATCACAGAAGTCTCCCCACCCCCTGGCCACCTGCTCTACGCCCCTCCCCGGTCACTACCCCTCCTCTCCACTAGGTGACCACAATCCTGATTCTGTTCTAATCACTTCCTTGATTTTCATCTTACCACTGAATTAGGCATCTCTAAATAGCACAGTTTACTTTTTTTCTAAGTTTGAACTTATATATAAAATAGAATCCTACTGAGGAATTGGGGGGGGGGGTTTACTTCACTTTAGGTTAGTCTGCTCATCTATATACCTATTCCACCGTTCATGGGCATTTGAGTTGCTTCCATAGTGGCTCTTCTGAAACACTGCTATGAGCATTGGTGCACATGTCTAGAACTCCTCTAGACTGGATCTTCTACTTTACTGTAAAATGGCAAACAGTTTTTCCAAAGTGAATATACCAATATACATATACTCTAACAGTGTGTGCAACAGAAATTTACTCTTTAAATGTATGAATGGTCTGCAAAAATTGTTACAATGGAAATCCTACTGGGAGAAAACAACAGGTTAAACTAGATGTGCTCTCAGCAAAAGGTCTGCCTTCAAAAACAACATTTGAGAATTGCAGAGAGGTGTGTGCCTAGCACAGCTAATTCTAGAATGAAAAATAAAATATAAAGAACAGTTCAAAGCGCAGAGTCCTTGTCTGAGGAACCAAGTCTGAATTACACATTTGCCACATGGCAGACACTGAGAATGAGGAGAAAAATAGAGGAACAACCATAGGTGGCAAAATGGAAGAAAGAGGAAAAGACTTTTTATGAATTAACCTAAGACCATCAACTTTTAAATGCTCAGAGACTCAGACCATCACCACTGGTTAGTTGATAAACACACTCAATAATCAGTTCTATTATACCCAAGAAGAACTTTTAATTTCTCAGAAAAATGAGGATATGAAAATTCTACTGGCAACCATTGCTATATGTCTAACATTCAAGGAGGAAAATGACTTTACTTGACTTTACATAATACAGTTAATTAAACTATCAACAGAAAAAAAATAGATAAATACTAAATCTAGGCACCATAGTTACATTTAAAGCAGAAAAAAAACTAATGGTGAATTTCAGATAACATGTTGACATTATCAAATCAAGCACTTATTTCTTTCTATTCTTGCATTTCCTAGTCATAGAAATAGTATTGCCTAAAGTTATACAGAAACATGATAGAATAGCATTCAAATCCAGACTTGTTCAACTTAGAAGCCTGTGATCCTTATATCGGGTCTAGTAATAATTAATGTCGTTTTTTAACATTCATTTAAAATCTTGCTTGGCGTTGACTTGTATTGACATAACCTTCAAACACGTGGTATCTACAGAACGTGTGAAGTGCAATTAACAAGTTTTGCTTGAAAAAGTTTGTGTTTGGTTTGGTTTTTGTTGCAAAACTAGGGCTAAGAAGATGGCGGATGAAGAGCATATTCGGCACTGCATGCTTTACGAGTTCCAATTAGGAAGAAAAGCAAGTGAGGCTGCAAAAAACATCTGTAGTGCTCTTGGTCAAGATGCAGTTAGCGCCAGAAAATGCCAGCGTTGGTTTGAGAAATTTCGCGAGGGAAATTTTCCGTTAGATGACAAGAGTGGTCGAGGCCGTGTGTCCAATTTTGATCAAGAAGCTCTTCAAGCTCTTTTGGTTGCAAAATCCTCAAATTACCCAACAAGAGCTTGCGACAACTTTAAATTGTTCACAAAAAACAATTTCCAATCAATTGCGTGCACTTGGCAAAGTCCAAAAGTTTGGAAAATGGGTTCCTCATGAGTTGACCGACAACAACCGTAATCAAAGAGTCACAATTTGCAGTTCGCTCCTCTCTCGTCAAAACCGTTTGCCGTTTTTAGAGCAAATTGTTACCGGAGATGAACAATGGGTGCTGTATGTTAATTTGAAAAGGCGGCCTCAATGGTTGGACAAAAATGAGGCTCCGCAGCCCACGCCAAAACCTGACTTGCATGCGAAAAAAGTGATGTTGTGTGTTTGGTGGAATTTTAAAGGAATTCTTCATTATGAACTTTTACCATCTAACCAAACCATTACAAGTGCAGTGTATAGTGCCCAATTGGAAAGGTTAGCCCAAGCTTTAAGAGAAAAAGAACCCGCGCTGATTAATCGGAAGGGCGTAATTCTTCACCACGATAACGCACGACCGCATACTGCAAGAATCACTGCTGAAAAACTGCGCCAGTTGGAATGGGAAGTTCTCCCTCAACCTGCATATTCTCCTGATATTGCCCCTTCCGATTACCATTTGTTTCATTCTTTGCAAAACTTTCTTCTTGGAAAAAAATTTAATAATGAAGAATGCCTCAAAAATGCATTGACCGAATTTTTTGCATCAAAATCACAAGAATTTTACAACAGAGGGATTAAAATGCTTCCTGAGCATTGGGCACAAGTAGTAGAAAACAACGGCAACTATATTGTTGATTAAATTTTGTTGTATTATTTAAATAAATTCGATTTAAAAAAGTATTAGAAAACGACATTAATTATTACTAGACCTAATATTAAACCACACTAAGGAAAGACCAAAACATCATCGCTGAACTTGAATGTCTAATATTAAAAATCAAAATGTTCAATGTTGATAAGTTCCTTCCAATTTTGGTTACTTTGTACTTAGTAAAGAATTTATATGCTGTGCTGGGTCTCTTCCATTTGCTACTCCAGATCACCCCCTAACCTTCTCCATCCTGTCCTGCAGGATGTTGATCTGTATGGATGACAGTAACAGGCCTCCCTTACCTTCCAGCCTCCAGCAGGCTAAGCTTAAGGGAGGCCCTGGCAGGAGCCTGGAGGAGACAGTTAAAAACCAGAGTATTTATTCCCCTGTCTTTCTCCCTGTGGTGTCTCCTTCACTGGAGAGATCTCTTGACCAAAGGTGATTTATCCTCTCGTGGTAAACTGCTCTCCATGAATCTCCTTCAGAGTTCTGGGAGTGGTAACACCTCTGCTGTTACCTGCCCTCCCCAGACTGTACTATCTCTGTGCTTCCCCTACAACCTACCCACATCTTTGTAAATATGGGGTGGGGAACCCTATTTCTGCCACGGGTCATTTGGATATTTATAACATTATTTGCTTAATTCACTTAATATGAATTTATGTGCAAAACTGAGCACTTCCAACAGTTTCAGCCATATCAAATAATAGCAACCCCCTTCTTCTAGCTGTTTATGCCAAAAACTTGGTGTCATACCTACGCATAGTTTTATTTTATTCTCCATAGTCACAAGACCTATATGCAATTTTCTCTAAATAGATTCAGAACCCAACCATGTTTCGCCACCTCCACTGCTACCACCCTGGCCACAGCCAACATCACTGTCTGCATTGTTGCAATAGCCCAACTGGTCTGCCTGCTCCCTCCCTCACCGGTCTTCAGGTTACTCCACCACAGCAGCCAGAGTGATCCTGTTAAAATATGAATTAGCTATATGACTCTTCTCTTCAAAACCCTCCAGTGGCTGCTCATCTCAGAGACTCAAAGCCTTTGAACTTGCTACTCCTTTTGCCTGAAACACTTCCCACCAAGCCTCAATGCCTGCTCCCTCGCCTTCCTCAAGTCTTTATTCAAATGCCACCTTCTCAGAAAGACCTTCTCTGTTCACCCTTTCTAAAACTGTAACAGCCCCTCCCCACTTCATTTCTATCCTGAGCAATTATCACCATTTAAGATCTACCATGTTTCCCCAAAAATAAGACATCCCCTGAAAATAAGACCTAGCACAACTTTGGGAGAAAAAATTAATATAAGACACTGTCTTATTTTCGGGGAAACAGGGTATCTACTTTTCTTTTCCTTACTGAGTCTTGAACGTTAACTCCCGTGTCACAGGTGTTTTTGTCTGCTCTGTGCACTGCTGTTTACTTGGCTTTTAAAAACAGTACCTGGAAGCTGCCCTCTTAGCGCAGTAGGCAGCGCATCAGTCTCATAATCTGAAGGTCCTAAAACAGTACCTGGAAACAGTGGGGGCTCAAATAATTGTTAAACAGACCACAACTAGATACCATTCAACCAGCTGGCCACAGTGAAAAATTCTAACAGTGCTACATATTGGCTAAGACAATGGACTCCAGGAATTGTAGCTTGTCTCAGCACTGGAGAGCAATTTGGCGATACCTAGAAAGTTTGTGATGTGCACATCTAATAAACCAGCGATATGTTTTCCTGGGTTGTTATGCTGACTTACACAAACAAGCCAAGGAGTATGGTCAGGCTGTCTAGAGGATATTCTTAATATTTTATGACCACAGAATGAAGTCCACTTCTCAAAAGTAGACCAATACAGTCCACTCTAACATATATGAAGACAGCAGGACAGCTATTCCCAGGCTAATGGTATGTGACAAGAAAATAATAAATCAGTAGCAGAGGAAGGAAGAAATATAAGCACATATTAAAAGATGTGGCAATTGTGATCTCCCAAAAACCAATCACAGATAAGCAAGCCACTAAAGAAATCAGTAAGCAAAAAGACTACAAACATATATACACATATTTTTACATATAGATATAGATATAGATATAGATATAGATATAGATATAGATATAGATATAGATATAGATATAGATATAGATATAGATATAGATATACTTAAACCATGCCAGGTTTAAGTTTAAAAAAATGCTAAAATAAATAACCAAAACCATAAGCCAATGTGCATAACTGCTGCCTTAGACTAGAATTCTGAATCACCTTCAAACATTTATGCAGGGTTTTTTTTTCAATTACCGTTGACATTCAAAACTATGGAATGCTTCACAAATTTTCATGTCATCCTTGCCCAGAGGCCGTGCTAATCTCTGTATCGTTCCAATTTTGGTACATGTGCTGCCCAAGAGAACAGTCTGCAGTATCTTTAGCACCAGATACTGTTGTGACAATGACTGCACAATTGATTCCATTAAATCCACAGGTAGCCCACATGCTAATTTTATTGCACTGCCTCAATTTTCCCGGAAATTTTTAAGCAGAACAACTGATAAAAATTGAAGCTAACCAGCACGCATTTCACATTTCTCCAACCTTGAATAAAAGTGCTTTTAGACCCATAATGGGCCAAAATGCAGATAACAAGAGAAAAATACTCATCTGAGTGGAAAAAAAGATGAGTCACCAGGCCCTGAACAGTCATTGAGTGGATGCCATCAGCAAACCTCTACATAAGGTGGTTACGCTGTGTGCCCCTTACAAATAATGACACCAGACTGAGCCGCTCCTCTGACTCACAATAATCTCGCTCCACTTACCTCTTTCTTTCCAACTAATACGCTGGGAGAGAACTCATCACTTTATAACTCTCAGTCTGGTTCAGGCACTCAAAATATACAAGCAGACCGGAATTAAAGGCAGAACTCTTAGCAACATAAAGGTTGGGAGCAGGGAATTCAAAACAAACTGAAAATATTATTTTCATATTATCTCACTGCTTCTCACATCTTAATCCTTTAGGGTTTTTTTAACCTGGCAGTATTTTTATTGAGGTATTTATAGATTCACATCTTTAATAAATCTATAATAATAATAGCATAATATGCTAAATAGACCAGATGTCCTTCTGGACAACCTTCCAGATGAAGCCAGGGCTGCAAAGGAAGCCCGGGTCCCAGGTATCAGAGGGAAGCAGGTGCCAGCAGCTGGGGAAAGGAAGGCCTACTCTTACACAAATTTTGTGCATCAGGCCTCTAGTACATTATAAGACATAATACAGAGAAATCTCATATGCTTGGCCCAGTTTCCTCCAATGATAACATTTTGTAAAACTACAGTACACTATCACCTCCAGGATATGGACATGACACAGGCAGAACCCACCAATCTTATTCAGACTTCCCCTGGTTCATTTGCCCTCACTTGGGTGTGTGTGTGTGTGGGTGTGTGTGTGTAAGTTCTACACAATTTTATCACTTGCACAGATGGAGCACCACAAGGCTCCATCATACTGCCCTTTTATAACCACATTCACCTCCTACCCTCCTATCCCTAACCCCTGAAAACCACTAGGCTGCCCTCCATTCATCCTTCAATTTCTTATGTCCCATCCTACAGGGAGTAGCCATCCATAAAACCAGCTCTCCCTATTATCTCCTGTAACTACCCTCCAGTTCCACATCGATGAGAGTCAATACAGTTGGCCATAGGAGGAATAAGATTTTTACTCTATTGAAAGAGAAGACTGTCCAAAGCAAAAAATAAAAGTTTTGTATATGTCTCCAAAATGTGCGTATCCACTAATATGCACACTTCTGGCTATAAAACAAGGGGGAAAATATCATATATTCTAGAAACTCTATAAAGCTTTTTATAAACATAAGTACCAATTCCTCTGAAATCAAAGAAAGCCCTGCTGTTTCTCAGACTGCCCACTTGAGAGGAGTATGATTCAGCATTTTTCATTTCTATGAAAACTATTATATTATCCACTTCAACAGCAACTTAAGTCATTTTATCAGCACATGGAAACTCTGCCTTCCACGTAGAGAAACACCATTCTATCCTTGCAAGCTATTAGACACACTGTCCTTTATCTAGATTTAAAAATCCATAAGACAAAAGATGTGACTTAAAAAGGAGCATCAATGTTTCTGCAACGTTCATGGCATAACCAGTGTGTGAGCAATTGGAATTCATACCTGCAGAGCTGAGGAGAACACTGAAGTCCGTCCCCCTCTGCGATTCTCCACTTTCATTATCGACTTCTTTTTCAGTATCTTGATATCGATCCCAGTTAGAGACTATCTTTCTCTTAGAATAATTTCCCTGTTCATCATTCTCTTCTCCATAGGTCTCTGCATCACTGCCATCTTCCACCTGCAATCATTGGAGAAAATCAACACATAGTCAAAGTAAATCTTGACCTCAGTAGCCTCAGCAGGAGTACAAGGTATCACATTAGAGAGCACATTACTGACCGAGCTCTCTGAGGATAGTAAGCAATATTTCAAGACAATCCCATTACACCAGAGTGTACTTTCAGGGGAAATTTTCACTTAGCTTTGAAAAGGAAATCTGGTGAGTTCCTTCTTTAAAATTTATGTGGCTTATATATCTCAAGTTCACCCCACTGTATCCTACTTCAATAGTTGTTTCCTCCTACTAAAATAATCAAGGCTGTTAGAGTGTTAAACTCAAAGGACTTCAGGATAAAAATGGACCCTTTCAATTTACAGATTTTACAAACATGCCATAAATATGTTATATTGTAAACTTTAAATGGGAACCCTGCTCAGATGCATTCTACAGAACAGTTTCCTGTCTTAGGCATTCAGAGGTTGAGAGAGAATGCAGATTGTGAGAAATTATTAAAAATAAAGGGCCTAGTTTTTTTCAATAAATAAATTGAAAGGGAAAAAATGGTAGAGAAGAAGGAACATAACCAGTTGTGATGTCGGGAACTTATTTGAACTCTGATTCAAACAATATAATTAGAGAAAATTATTTATGAGACAAGTGAAGAAAGGTGAGCAATGACTGCATATTTGATTATAATAAGGATATTACTTTATTTATATATAGTTTAGTATTGTGTATTATGTTTTTATCTTTCACAACTAAATAATGAACTATTTATGAATGAAAAGAAATGATGTGGGATTTGCTTCAAATAATGGGTGGAAAGGAACGGTGGGTACAGATTAAATAAACTGGGAATAACTCATCATTGCTGAAGCCAGATATGGGAACATAAAAATTCATTATGTTATTCTATCTACTTTTGTATGTGTTTAATATTTTCCATAATATAAAGAGAGATGCATATAGAATCTAAAGACCAGTTCAAAAAAATAGCTTAAAAATTATAAAATCAAGAAAAACTTGTGAAATATACTAAAACAACCCATCTGTACAGGATGGGCAAGTATACATTTTTTAAAAATAAGTTTATGTCAACACAGAAACAGGACATGCAAAAACTTGGGAGGGGAAAACAAGCAAAAAAATAATATATGAAACCCCATCATTCCATCACCTGAAAGTACCACTACTGACACTATATTGCGTATACTTCCAGATTTTTTTCTATCTACATATTTTTCTATCTATATACTATTTTTTGGTAACCGGATTTTTCTCATCGATATTTTGAAAAGGAAATCTGGTGAGTTCCGACATCACCATTTCAGTAAATTTTATTTCATATGATATCTAGACTATTTCCAAATTTCCCTAACCCCAAAATCCCTTTACAGATAGTTTACTCAAGTCTGTGTCCTATTCAAGACCATGCACTGTATCAAAATTGTTTGTCATTTAAGTCTCTTTGAATATAACGAATCTCTATTTTTATTATATTAATTTACTGAGTGCAGAAGGACTCATCTTCTGTCTGACTACTTCCCTAAAGTGCTTTCTTGTAGATTAGTTTCTAGGAAATATTAAATTTTAAAAATCTAAAAAAAAATCTAACTGCCCAATGGAGTCATGTTAAAGTGTATGTTTGTTTGTTTGTTTGTTTTTGGGCTAAAATTCATCAGAGATGGTGCTCTGAACTTTATAAAACATCACATCAAATAACAGATGATAAAAGGCTAAACCAACGTAAGTAATGCTAAGATTAACCAGAGTTTGGATAATGAAAACTGACCCACCCACTATGTTTCCACCCTTGCATCTAGGAATTTCTCTGTGTGGTGTTATCTTGTTCCACTAAAAATTTCTAGTTATCCATCAACCATTCAATCCTCAATTCAAATTGCATACGTTTTCATGAAACGCTGAAATAACTGAGCTTCCAAGATCACTCTCAGCCCTCAAATATCATCAGAAGCTTCCTTGACAGCACAAAGACAAAAATGGCAATCTACATTATAACCAAGGCATTGCAAAAAATGCCTAAACCCTAGAGCTTTCCTGTCATTGCTAGAAGTTTTTCAGAAAGAAAAGATGCTAGCAGGTGAAAGGCATGTGACTGAATGAGATATGCTATATAAATAACAAATACCAGGGACATTCTAAAGAAAATAGCTTTGCAGCTAATAAGAATTTGGGGGCTAGAGCTAGAGCTGAAAATACTAGAAAGGTTTAATCAGGGAAAATCCAATATTCTTTTGTTGGCCCACTGGATAATCAGAGTTCAGAGACCTCCCCAGTTAATACAAAACTGAACACAGTTGTAACACATGGCAAAAAATGTAAACCTGGACAAAGTAATTAGCTTGATATGAAAGAGGGCTCTGATCTGAAACACCTAAGGAACTATGAACTCAATGAAAGAAGCACTGGCATGGGAGGCAGGAGACCTAGAGAGAATTAATGGTCCTGCCATCATCATCATTTGATATTAACCAAATGTTTATAATAGGCTGGACTTCACAGAATTGAATAACTCACTAATCCCCAACTTAGAAAACGCACTGACAAGGATCTCATTACCCCCACCAACTGCAGTAACAAGGACGGTTGTCATTAGCCTCCATCAGAGGGTACGTAGTAAGAAGTAATGAAGATGAGAAGACATTTGATGCAACTTGGGAAAAGGTGTATTTTAAAAACTCCTAAAGATTTTATGTTTGGTTCTTTTTGCAAAAATCTGAGATAAAATGTGAAAACTATAAATATATAGACAGCATTATTATATTAATATCATCATTCTGAAACATGTCTGGTATACACTAAAAACTAGAAGACATTGATGAAAAAAATTAAAGAAGACACAAATGGAAAGATAGTCTGTGCTCATGGACTGTAAGAAATAATATTGTTAAATGTCCATATTATCCAAAGCAATCTATAGATTCAATGTAATATCTCTCAAAATTCCAAAGGCATTCTTCACAGAAATAGAACAAACAATCTTAAAATTTGTATGGAACCACAAAAGACATCAAATAGTCAAAACAATCTG